CAGTTGGTTTAGTGGTTGGGTTTCCGTTGAACCCACTAAAGCTTAAACTTTTAGCAGATCTAAGGATAAAGTGTTACAGGTGTTCTTAGGGGTTTTCAGCCTAAAGGTTAAACTAGCAGGGGATCTGGGGACAGCCCAGGTAGGGTGGGGGGAGACCCAGTTTGGAGAGAGAGTCCTTTTCTTTATTGTTTGGAGGAAACACCCAGGTTGATTTATCCGGGAAAAGCACGGAGACTCCCCATGTGGAGCAGCAATGTCCGAACTCCCTAGAAAGTTCTTAGAATATGAGGGGGATGGGTCCTTTGGGTTCCTCCCCAACGGTGCCTTGGAAGACTACCAGCAATGTTTGGGTTGGTTTCTACCCAGCTGACCGATTGCCTTTACGTGGAAAGTCCTTATGTCCAATTTGTGAAATCTAGTTACTTAGTTCAACGCCTAGGTTATTTCAATAAACGCGTCCTGTCGGCGTTGCTTGTTGCAATGAGATTAGGAAGTGACCAGAAATGTGTTTGTGTAAAACCTATGGTTGGTTCCTTCAATACAAGTGGACAAACCACAAAACGCAAGCTGGCAACGCCCTGGTTACCAGGCTTCTCTTGTTCCCTCGCAATGTCCAGGGCGTCCGAGGAAGAAACAGCCTGGTGAGCTGGCGTGGTTTTCCAATTGCATGCACTGCAATTGTTTTTTCCACTGCCCTGACCTTCTGGGTCCCGCAGTAGTGCCCGTTTACCCTTTTTGGGGGGAGGGTTCCCCTTCTAAAATAGACTACAGAAAAAACTTGGTACCCTTATTCCAACCTCTCCACTGGAGGACCTAGCCTTCATTGTGGTCACAAGTGTGTTGAGGGTGGCTCTTTGGTTCTAAAGATACCTGCTTTGGTCACGCATAGCGCATTTGGCCTTTCCCCTTTTCCGCCAGCTTAGAAGGAAATCATCATTCTGGATGGGTGATGTTCAGGTGGATACCATGTGCACCCAACCGAAGCACGACGAAGACCCTTGAATTGAGGAGTTTCGACTGACCCGGGCGTTTCGATGCGTCCTTCGTGAAGCCATTCCCAGATTGGCTCTTCGGAAGCTTCCCTCAGTCTACAAGCTGCAGTTCCTTTGGGCAATAGTTGTGGGAATCCAGCCGCGGCCCAGCATAGCAAAATCGGTTCATACTTGCGATGCCGCCTGGACTCACAGTTTGAGCCAATCAACGTCAAATTGGGAATCAAGAAGGAGTACCCTGCCAAGCCAGAGAAGAATAACCGAAACAGATGCTTTCCGAACAAAAGAAGGAGGTACTACATGTGTTGGTACTCCGGATGAATCTGGAGTGAACAGTACGCTAACAGATCACAATAGCTGTTCCCGCCACAAAAGGTCCACCGTACAAACCGCAGATTTTAGTTGTCTCCCCCCATAGACGAAGGTTCCACAACCCTGCTTCCACTGTCGAGGCATAATCAATAATCGGTACTATCTCCTGTTCCTGAGACACTAGAAACGGATTTTGCTCGGCGGCTTCCAGTTAAGTCAGAATCAGACTCTGCTTGTCATTGCGCTTCACACACCCAGTTTAGTCAATGCAACTGTTAGCCATGTGCTGGAGCGTGCTTGTATACCACCAATAGGTTCAGCGTGGGAGGGTAATGTATGAAAAGTACATATCACAATACACTATTTCATCTTACTGGAGCAATGTGAAAACGCGTGTGTGTGTGTGTGTGTGTGTATATATATATATATATATATGTGTGTGTATATATATATATATATATATGATTGTAGACATAAAAAGCTCCACACATCCAAAGACCATGCCTGAAAAAGCTGCTGGGTTTTTGTTGTAACCGATGGGATCCATGTTCCCCTCGCTGTTTGAACTTGCACGAGGCGGTACTGTGGGAGGACCGCCGCTTCTGGGGAGGCATTCCTCCTTTCAGGCCAGAGGGGCCCGGAGTGGGGCCTGAAACGGGGGTTTCTGTGCTGGTGCTGGTGAAACAGCCCCACTTGCGCAGGTTTGGGAGAGGAATCTTGCGCTTGGGGGCGTTGTAGGAGGGTTGGCCATCAGCCTCTTACTGCAAAGGTTCTTATCCGCGAATTTGCTGCTTAAGGTGTTGGAGTAATTGATTCGCCCTTCTCTTTTCACCTCCGTCCGAGCTAAAATGTGCATCTACTCACGCAAGACTTGCGACCGAAGACCACCCACTGGCTCTGAGCGACCCTACCAGCGCTACCCTAGGTCCCCAGCTAGGTGCCCTTCTCTCCCCTTTTTGGTTGGGAGGGTTTCCCTACTAAAATAGACAAAACCGAAAAAACCATGGTAACTCATTCCAAGCCCTCTACTGGACCTAGTTGACCATCCAGGCGTTGAAGCCGAAAGATCCGCGACACCCGGTCTCGCCAGTCCCTTGGCGATTGAAACTCACATGACGCATGGTCCATCCCTCCAAGGGTCTGGAGCCAAGGAGAAGCCTGCAATTTGGCCTCGTAGGGTAGCAGTGCCTTGGAGGCCCAAAATCGTGTTGCAAGGGGAGCGGATTACTCTTAAACAAGTGTACCACTTCTAGGTCCCCCAGCGATTGGTGCCCTTTCTCACCCCTTTTTTGGGGGAGGGTTCCCCTACTAAAGTAGCCTACAAAAAAAAGTTGGTACCCTTGTTCTATCCTCTCTACTGGAAAACCTAGACTTGCTGGAATCCACGGTTGCGTCTAGCATGTTGCCTAGGCGCCTTTTTTCACCAAGCAGTTCCCCCTGCCTTTGGCTGAACGGGGGACACACCAACTGCGTTTTTTTACTGAAATTTCACAGTTGCGTCTAGCATCTTGCCTAAGCCTTTTTCACCCAGAAGTTTCCCCTCCCTTTGGCTGAACGGGGGACACACCATCTGCGTTTTTTGCTGAAATCCAAAAGGAAAGCCAGAAAGACAGCTGATTGATCAGGGCTCCTTGAAAGATACATTTTGCCCAATGGAAGCATGGCTTTTTCCTCCAAAATAAGGGGAAACCACTATTGACAAGGCAATGTTCAGGTGTATCATGTAAGGATCCCTGTTGATTCCTTTTAAGTCAGGCAACGGCCACGCTCTTCTCGGAGCCGCGGTTCAAGGAGGCGCGTGGCGGTTGCGGGGCTTGGCTTGCCAGCCCACGGCATGCTTGCCGCTGGTCTGTTTTGGCTGTGGGTCAAGAATAGGGTAACCCCAAAATTGAAACTTGGTAATTAAGTGGAAACATGGACTAAAACCTGCCGTTTTTCTGGTGGTTTGATTTTGACCCATACCCATTTGGTGGTTTGAAGGTGAGGGGGTGTCCCATTGACCCTCCACAAGAAGGGGTGCGAACCCCCAAACCAGCAATCCAAACAGGGTAAGGGATCCCACGGTGGGGGGAAACTGCGTACCTCTGCGTACCCATGCTGGCCATTCTGGAGGTTCCTGCAAGTAGCGACAAACGGATTTGGAGACAATTATCCACTTGTTGGTGGTTTCCTTTTGTAGCCAATAGCTCTGAAGGGTTCTGTTTGGAGACAACTCCCAACTTCAGGGACCAAGACCCCAAGACCCCGCCTCCAACCAGGAAGGCAATTTCGAATAACGCAGTCTGGAGAAGCACTTGGCCGGCATGCCAAAACTGGTGGATTTCAGGCAGTTTCCCATTCCAGTCATGTTTGTCGGTTTGACAAAGTTGGCTTTGTCCAATCCGCTCAGAACATGAGCTCCATTTCCACGTAGTTTCAGGTGGCCTTGTTGTTTGTGGGTATTTGGGCGAGAGTTTCCCTCACTTTGTGGATTCACGAACTTTAGTCACTTGTTGGGTTTGGGCTCGTTTTAGTAAACCAACAACAAAGACAACGGACACTTTCTGTTGTCCCTGTCGCAGACTTTAGTCACTTTTTGAGAAGACCATTTTGGTAAACAATAACAAGCATGGACGCTTTTGGGTGGTTCCAGTCCACTCCGGGAGTGAGAAATCCTGGTCGAGTCGAGTCTTCGGTGCCAGGAGCTGGAGCTGGCGCGCAAGGCCTTCGCAGACGCGCGTCGAGAGGCGGAGGCGCAGACGAGCTGACGGGGTGGGAGGTTTGGGGGTGAGTTTTGGGGTGAGTTTTGGGTGCCCCGAGGATTTGCTTATCCGCGGTCACACTTGAAGGCCCCTCTTCCTTTGGAAAGTTCAACTCTGGGGGTGTCCAACTGAGCCACAATCAAAACCCGGGTAGATGAAGGTTGGTAAGGGACAATCCCAACCATAAACAGCTGCGGATATCCGCCTGCTTAATTCCTTGCATGGTTCTGGGATTACGACCATTTAGTACCGGGTTTTGAGCAAGTGACTCAAATGTGGCTCAAACACCCCCTTTTCTTGCTCTGGTCATTGGGGTTCCCTCAGCTTGAGTCATTTGCCAGGTCAGAAAAACCAATGGTCGCCTCAGAGTCGCCTTGAAGTGTTGGCGACGGGAAGAAGAGGGGTCTGAACCAAATGGGTCCCGCTCGGGTCCCTCGTCCCACGTGGACCTTTTTTTTCTCCCGGCGCAGGCGGCGCACGAGCAGAAGTACACCGAGGAGTTGAGGATCATCGAGGCGAATCGCCGAGGTTTCGAGGTGTCGATTTGAGCCTGAGGAGAGTAGGCTTGGTGGCGCCCAGCCGTCCCTTTGGTTCCTTAGCTGGTTATCGTTTTAGCTTTTTAGCTTTTTAGCTTTTTAGCTTTTTAGCTTTTTAGTGGGTTTAGTGGGTTTAGTGGGTTTAGTGGGTTTAGTGGGTTTAGTGGGTTTAGTGGGTTTAGTGGGTCTAGTGCGGGTGTCCATTCATTCTAAAAGCGAAACTTTTAGCAGGGGATCTGACCACAGCCGGCCCAGTATAGACCTCGAGCCAGACATGCCCCCCCGAGTCTTGAAGCAGCCTCTAAGTTTATTCCCATGTTTTGTGGGGTTCCTCCCATCAACCCCAGATCCTTCCTTGTGTTGGTTGTTTCTGAGATGGCCTCACCATGTTTGGCAGGAGAAGCAGGAGGAGGAGGAAGAGAAGAAGCTGGGCTCCAACCCTTCCCTGTCGGAGGCTGGGCAGCGGTCGGAGAATTGGCCGAATCGGTAGCCTGGGCTGAGCCAAATCCATGGCAGGAAGCACTCAAATGGGCTTGGTCGGATTGGCGCACTCCACGAGAAAAAGTGGACTTCATGCACCTGGGGTTTGGACCATTTTAGTGATACACAAAAAGTGTGGTGACTTGGTCTGTTCCAATCCACTCGGGAAGTGAGAAGGATTGGAGCCTCCTTTTGCATGGCTTTGACGGGAGGAAACCTAGAAGGCTCATGGTTGCAGGATATGAGGTGCTGGCGAATCCTGGTTTCTGTGATTTGCCAGGGGAATCTCCTTGGAAGTGACCAATGGTCATACCTACGCGAAACAGAAGCACAAGCAAACTCACTCATAAACATCCCTCTTATTGGCCCCATGGAAAAACAGAAGACAAAAAGCAACCAAACACTTAGACATACTAGCCAGCCGGCCACCAGCCGACCTGAGCGGCTGACCAACCGAACGAACCGACCAAGACCAATCAACCAAGAATCAAACAAACAAGCAAACAAAGCACCAACCTTCTCCCCAAACCCTCAAACACATCTTCCCCTGTCCCCCAAGACAAGACGCACACACAAGAAAAAGTAGAAACTAGGTCCCCCAGTAGTGCCCCTTTATCCCTTTTTGGGGAAGGTTTCCCCTACTAAAATAGACTACAGAAAAAAGTTGGTACCCTTATTCTAACCTCTCAAATCTGGAGGACCTAGAATAACCAACCTTCTCCCCAAACCCTCAAAAACATCTTCCCCCTCTTCCCCAACAAACAAGACTTACACAAACATCACCTGCCTTCAGGCCGGGGATGCTGCGGAGTGGTCCTTCCAGCGGTCCCGGCTGCCCGCACACTGCCAGACCGTGCCCAAGCACCGCCCGGGTGCTCGGGAGCACTTGGCTGGGGACCACAAGCAAACCCCCGAAAAAGTCATGAGCCACTTGCTCAAAACCGATTCGGGCAGATGAGCATTAGTAAGGGATACTCCCAACCATAGCTTCGGATATCCGCCTTCTTAATTCTTTCCATGGCTCTGGGTAGACCGGTTTGATACTGGGTTTTGATTATGACTCTCATGATGGCTTCCCCTGTCTTGCTGGCTCCCTGCCGTCCCTTCGGTGGATTTTCAGTTGGTTTAGTGTTTGGATTTCCATTTCACCCACTAAAAATTACTCACTTTTAAGCAAGGGATCTGAGCCAGTTGTGACTTTTCCTTAGGGTTTCCAAGCTGAACATGAAATGCAGCCTCCAAAAAGCGCCCACCCAGTTGCAGGGAAGGAAGATCACAAAGGAGACGCAAAAGGGGTGGGTATGATGTTTGAAGTGGTTTGTTCTTGTTAAAGTATTACCTGAATTTCTGCCTTGCTGCAGCACATTCTTTAGCTTGTTGTTGTGTTTTAGTAGTTAGTGCAGATAGTTTAAGGTTCACAACTTATGGAATATCACCAGCAGACGTCCAAAATGTGTACCTACATATGTATATATATATATAATATATATATATAGAATAGATAGAAATATGTAGGGACAACAATCTCTGAATAAACTGGAAAGATGCGTTATCCAGACCGACTAGGCAATGGGTACAAGGGTGTGTCCAAAGATGAGTCCCCTCTTTCTGGGTAGTTATAGGGAAAAGCTGTTTTCGGGAGCCGGCACTCGATTGTTGCTTTTGGTTTTGGACGCGTGCATACACTAAAGCAGCCACTGGGGCCAAACTATACCAATGGCCCATGCAATGTTCTCTACACTGACACCTGGAGAACCCACAACCCTTCCGTCGCAGGATGCAATGGAGGGACCGATGATGCTTAGCAATTGGTGGAGGGTGTATATTCCTGCTTCGAAGTATAGGTTCAACACTTTCCAGAGGATCTACAGTCGGTGTCGGGTGTCTCTGGTTTTGCACTCCCAAATATCCCATGTGGGTCAATGTCTTTAGGAAAGGCACTGGGGCAGCGATATTCCAAATCCCTGAGTGACAGGATGGTGTTCTATAGCTTGCTCCCGATTCGTTTCACCTGTCGAGCTTTGAAATGAATGAGGGAAGCACAGCTAGATCTGCACCGACTTGTTGAGTGAAAGTGGCACCCATTGTCCGGTTCTGGTGCCTTCCATTGAAATGGGTCAACCCCAACAAGGGCTCCCGTTCTGCCAGAAATCGGGTGCATGTGCCGCGGTCAGACCTGCTTAGCTGGCGCTAGGGATGGCTACGGACCCATTTTTTAGACACCCAATGTAAGGATGCTTAAAAAAGCCTGGCACCCAGCAGAAAAGGGGGGCAGAAAAACCGATCGCCGGTGTTTCTCGCTGCTTTTTCCTAGGCAGAGCTAGGAATTGCTGGGGGGCAACCAAAAATGGGTGCAGCCGTGGCATCGGGTTCATCATGTTGGTAGGTCTTGATTAATGTTGACCCCACATTAATCAACCCCTGTTTATTAATGTGGGGGTGTTCCCCTCCAAAAGTGATAAATCCCCACTAAACCCAGGGACACCCCCATAGTAGTAAACATGGGTTTATTAATATGGGGTCAACCTTATGACTCACGTGGCAACCTCCACCTGTTTGTACCGAGGTTGCGACTTCGAGGTGGACCCAGACGCCTTGGTCCCGGATCGAAAGCGCTGCATCCTGCAGGCCGGGGAAGTTGCAGAAACTGACTTGCTGGTGCGATAGGTGGGGAATGAGTTGGAATGAACCCCTTACAAGCCATCCAACTTGTGGTTCCTTTACGGGAATTTCTTTTGAGCTTTTTTTCTTTTGCCTTGCTGGTGCGAAATCGGTAGGGAATGTGCTTGAATGAACCCAGGCTTTGGTCCCCTCAAAAGAAACCACCAGTTGGACGGTTTTTAGGGGGTCATTCCATGTCTCATTCCCTAGCTATCGCACCAGCAAGCCAAAGCTCCCCAAACTTCCAAGCTTTAAGTTGCCCATGGGTCCACGTTTGGCCCATCAGACCCAAGACCTCCAGCGCCCCTTGTTTCACTTTTTGGAGGGGGGACCCCTTTGAAATCAACTCGCCAATGGTGCCCCTTTTCCCATAGTCACCGGAGCTCTGGCCTTTAGTATGTCCCAAGACAGTTTGGCAAGAGAGCAGGATGCAGTAAAATTGCGCGCTTCGAGTGTGTTGTTTTTGGCTTTCTGCTCCCAGGGCGTCCCCTTCTCTTTGACAAAATCTGTCTGCCACCCTCCAAAGCTTGCTTGGTCTTGGTGGGGAATCTAGTGGTTGTTCAGGGGTCATTCCCAAGTGTTTGCTACTAAGAATGCTAGTTTTATTCACATCAACCCTTATGTGTGTTTTCCCGAAAGATAGTTGTTGGGTCCATTGCTAGGTCCCCCAGCTAGGTTCCCATCTCACCGATTTTTTGGTTGGGAGGGTTCCCCTACTAAAAGAGACTACAGAAAAAAGTCGGTACCAACTTATTCTAACCTCTCTACTGGAGGGCCTAGATTGCTCCCTCCCTCCCTCCCTCCCTCCCTCCCTCCCTCCCCTCCCTCCCTCCCTCCCTCCCTCCCTCCCTCCCTCCCTCCCCTCCCTCCCGCTAACATGGCAACTGACAGGTGGTCCCTCCAAAACGAAATTAATCTTCCAGGTACCTCACAGGTGCCATGTTAGTTGGAGGAAGGGTAGTTCCACATCAAACTGCTTCTGTGAGTGAGAATCTATTATGCATTATAAGACACAATGTTTCTATATGCATAAAACACTATTAGACCCCATTATAATTTGTTTATGTTTTCCGACATATAGTTCAGAGTCGTTGAGTCCATGGCTTGGTGTCACGTGCTCGCCCAGCCGCGCGCGCGCGCACGGTCTCGCAGTCACGCCAGGCGGGCGCCTCATTGGAGCTGCCGATGCCCACGGGGCTCTCGGTGGGGAAGGGCGCGCGCCCCTCCTTAGAGGCGCTCCGGCTGGGGATTTCGGTCCATTCGATTGGACGAGGTATGTAAGGACTCATAGGTGGGGCGGTGGATTTGTTTTTTGGGTTGGAGTTGGTGGGTCCCCGTGTTTTTTGTTTAGTGGTTTAAAGGCGAGGTCCGCCAGTGCCCTTTCTCACCGATGCTTTTGTTGGTTGGGAGGGGTCCCCTACTAAATAGACCACCGAAAAACATCAGGTGCCCTTATTCTATCCTCCCTACTCGATGGGTTGGACGAGGTATTTAAGGACTTAGGAAAAGTCGAAGGAAGACGTCCTGAACATCCATGACAAGACTCATCGAAACTGGAGTAGTTGTTTGGGTTGGTTTTGCTGTGCATCATGTTCAAAGACTGGGCCGGTTTTCATTGTTTTTGGTGTTCGGGAAAGAAAGATGCTTGGAATGGGGCATGTTCCCAGTGACACCTCGTCAAACGTGCGTCTAAATGGGTGGGTTCAAGTTGGGCCAAGAATCCACTTTCAGGGACCCGGTTGCAATGGTTGCTTGTGCCCAAGCTTGTTCAGGCAGGTTCGAAGGGAGGGTTCTCTTTTTTGTGGTTTGGGCTTTCCAAGCAGTCAGGATTGGAGAAACAAATGATACTAACCCCAGGCCGTCAAAGTGCTCCAACAGATTGGTTTTTGGAGTTGGAATCCAAAGTCCCAACCTATGTTTGGGTTTAGACTCGTCTAAACAGGCGGGTGGCCAAACCTGTGAGGTTCCGAAGTTTGAGGGACACCAAGGGTTTAACTCCAGGGCTTGAATGCGACAACCCAGTCTAGTGGGTTTCGCCCCTTCGTCGTGGGCTTGCCGGTGGCGTCTCAACCTATGACAACGTACTCGACAGGAATACGTGCCTTTAAATGGAGACTGGTTACGTACTGGAATGTGGGCAAAAACCGGATTGTTTATTTATTTTGTTCAAGTGGGAAAGTATGAGGATGCAATAATAGCATGGCTGTGGCCTTTGGACATTTAGAGGATGCAAGGGAAGGAGTGTGAGGGAATGGGGCGATCTGATAAATGTGACTAACGGTTCCAATTCACTGTTGGATCAGTGTCCATTGGCTTGCATCACGTGGCGACGTGTAGATTGTTTGTCATCCCAGCACCATCAAAAAAGGGTGCGCCTATATCCTTCCACAATGCAGGAGACCCCAATTCGTTGGAAGCCCCGTGGCTACGCGTCGGTGGGGGCAAAGTAGGCATAAGCGCCACAATCAAAACCTGGGTAGATGAAGGTTAGTAAGGGACAGTCCCAACCATAAATAGCTGCGGCCACCAATAATTCCTTACATGGTTCCGGGTCGAACATTTAGTACCGGGTTTTGATTGTGACTCACAAGGCCTTAGCGGCGGGGGATTCTTTTGAGGGAGGGTGCGTGCGTGCTTGCTTGCTTGCTTGTTTCTCCCCTGGGGCTTCACTCCCCTCTCAACCCACTGACCTAACGGCGGTTCACTTGCTGCGGTGGGGATATGTCTGCCCAACCGCGAGGCCTACAGCTTGACCGTGTTCTTCCAGCTGCCCAAGGATGGGCGAACTGGCGGGTCCACACGCTCGCTGGTTTGTAACCTCTTTCGGAAGAGCAGTTTAGTTGCAAAAAGTTCAGACTTTTGTCTGGCCAATCCACTCGTTTTTGTTTTGGAGGCGACTTTTTTTTTCCGGGGGGGGGGGAGTTGACGCCGAGCAAAAGCCAAAGCCCATTTGCGGCCTCCATACCCGAATTTGAGACGGACCAAAGTTTAAGGAATACGGAACTACATGCAGCGTAGAAGCCGAACGTCAAGGGTTTCGAGATTTGTGGATCAGAAATGGTGACCATGTTTGTTTGTGTGTTCGTGAAGGGTCTTCCCTAGCCATCTCCTGTTCTTTGCAAGCCTGGCTGTTGTGGAACCTGACGATTGGAGGGAGGGTGCGGGACCTGTTGACCGTTACCCCTGTGATTGGAAATGAACTGGAACCTCCTGAAATCCAGTTGACCCCTTCTGTTGGTAGAAGCTCTTCGGGGGAGTGCCATAGAGCAGACACACCAGAGACTTCACACTTTGCCAAATGTGGCACCCCTTTGCTTGCGCACCATTCTCAGGGCATGTTTGATTACCAGGAAAGACTCCAACCCAGGCTTCCCCTTTTGGGTACATCAATCATCCCCGATACAGCAATAGGCATTTTGCCAGCTGATTGGTTTGCAGGGCTGGCCCCCCTGGCAAAGGAGCTGGAGTTTGGATACTAGAGTTCTGAAGGTGTTTCCGTCTTTTCGTGGCCAAGAACCCTAAACAAGCGCAAAGGAAGGCAGTTGCAAGACAGAATCCATGTGGGTGTGGGTCAAAAATCAAGAGGTAGGGCTACACAGGTTTCAGTCTCTCTTTCCATTTAGCAAGGGCCCATGTTGGGGTTTCCTTTTTTCTGAGCCATGTGTCCATGGCTGTGGCTCAAAATTAAACAGGAGGCGCAAACCGCAGGTTTTGGTACCCATGTTTCCACTTACCGATCGGGCTTGCGCCATTTTGGACTTCCGGTTTTTATTGTTTTTTTCGCCGCAGCCGTGTCCATCCGATGTGGTTTTTTGGGGCAGGACTGGTCCATGGAGCGCGGGAGCATCACCCCGCTGCTGGACTTCCCTCGGGCTGAGGAGGCGATGTGGGGCGAGCCCTCCGCGCAGCTGGTGGCGCTGCACGACGGCCAGCTGGCCCTGCGCTCCGTCCCTCGGACGGACTCGAGCCATGGAGTTGTCGGAGCGATGGAGCGCACTCCCTGAGGAAAAGTGAACGTCATGCACTTGTTGGGGGCTGGACTATAGTAGCAAAAAGTGTGGTTCTGGGTGATTTTTTTCGACCTCACACCTCAAACGACCAAATTCACCCCGTTAATGGTGGGATTTATGTGGGGAATAGCCCCCCAACCACCTTATTTCAAGGTTGGTGACATATTATAATTCACCCAGAGTAACAGGTCTGCAGCCAAATGAGCCACTTGCCCAACACCGATTCGTGTAGATGAAGGTTAGTAAGGGACGATCCCAAGCATAAATAGCTGAGGATATCCGCCTTCTTCATCCTTTTGCATGGTTCTGGGTTCACCATTTTTGTACCGGGTTTTGTTTGCGACTCAAATGTGGCTCAAACACCCCCTTTTCTTGATATGGTCATTGCGGTTCCCTCAGTTTGAGTCATTTGCCTGGAGGTCAGAAAAAGCAATGGTCGCCTTCTTGAAGTGTTGGCGCCGGGTTTTAGGAGGACCTGTGATTGGTTGTCCAGGGAACAGAAGAAACAAACATTAATAGAAGCCGATACTTTTTGAAGCTTGCAAGGAGTTGCCGTGGTTTCAAATGACAGGATGGTGTTAGTCATTTGCCCGGCGGTCAGAAAACCAAATGGTCGCCTTCTTGAAGTGTTGGCGCCGGGTTTTAAGAGGACCTGTGATTGGTTTTGTTCCTTCGTTTGATTCTTTGGTGCATGTTGCTTGGATGTTAGGCCTTTAACTTTTTGCCAACTCATGGGGTTTCCATTAAACCACTAAAAGTTGAACTTTTAGCAGGGGAGCAGAAAGCAACCGAGGATTGGTGTTGTTCCTTGGTTTTGTTAACCTTGACCGATGTTTGTTTGTCCTTTGGCATTGCCAGGTGGGCGATGAGGACTTCAAGGTGAAGGCCAAAAAGGCGCGGCATGCCGAGTGCGCGTTCGCTCGCGAGCGGTGCGGTGCTTTGGGACATGGCGAGTGACGAGTCGTTCACATCTCATGTCGCGCCTTGAGATGGCAACTTGCGTCTTGAAAACGAGATGTTGCTGGGAGGTTGGGCCCGGAGCAATGGATCGATGGATCGCGGTTTGCGGGGCTCAATGCTTGATTTCTCTTTGCAGGCTTGAGGGTTCCGTGCGCTTCATGGCTAGGTCCCCCGTGCCCGTTTACCAACTGTTTGGGGGGAGGGTTCCCCTACAGAGCAAAGGGTGCCCTTATTCTAACCTCTCTACTGGAGGACCAAGATGGAGTTGGTGTCCTTTGGCTCCTGGGGCCCATTTCGACTCAGGCCCCCCTCACGTCCCAGAGTCTGGGATCTTCAGTTGCTAGTTTTGTACGCCCATGCGTTGAACCCATGAAGTCCACCTTACCCTTTGAGGCTGCCTTTGAGTTTCTTCCATTTGCTTAAGAACATGTGTTATTTTCATCTCTTGGTTTTAAAGGGATTCGATTTCACTACTAGACATTTTTTTGTTTTTTCCAAGGGGGGCGAAAACGCAAATTGATGGTTTTGAGTCCATACCAAAGGTTCGTGCAGCTGGCCCTTCGCCATTTTTCTGGAACGCCAGGAAGAGGAGGAGAACCAAAAGAAGAAAGAGGCGCGGCATGCCCTCTTTGGAGAGGCCACCAGGAAAAACAACAGCAAAGCCCCCCCCCCCCCACCAAGTCAGGCTCCCTGCGGGAAAAAATATCTCAATCAGCCAGCTCTAAGATCCAGTGACATTTGGTTAAACACATGTTTTATGTTCCCCTGTTGGTTTTAAAGGGAATCGATTTCACTACTGGATTTTTTTCAGTTTTTTTGTTTTCAGGGGACTTAAGCAAATGGAGGCTTGCAGTGGAATGCATGCATACTCTCTGCAGATGAATATGGCAACTCGGAAACCGTCCATTTGTGGAATCTTTTTGAGAGGCCGCTTTTTCAGGGTCTATGTCCATCTTCGGTAGAGTATTGGCTATTGCATAATATTTGCTTATGCGTACGCTTCCATGTGGAACATGTGCATGTAATTGATATACGTATGTATCTATATATATATATAGTCAGAGATACATTTGCGTAGAGGTGTACGCATTATATATGTATACCAGTAGAGCCGGCGAAGCCGGTGGTCGAAAGTTTCAACAATATAAGAACTATAGGTCGGTTTCTCTTTCTTCTCTTGAGTCGTTTTCTCTTCTTCCTTTTCACCGTTTCTTTTTTTCTCCGGCATTCTTTGTTTCTTCCTGTATTTATTTATTTCCTTCCTTCCTCCCTTGTTTCCTTATTTCTTTATTTTATTTCTGTTATTTATCTCTTTAATTTGTTTGTTTTTGCGCTGTTCTTTCTTGTGTCTCTTCTATTTATCTATTTGTCTATCTATCCATCCCTCCATCTCTCTATCTCTCTATCAATCTATCTACCTATCCATCTATCTATCTACCTATCTATCTACCTATCTATCTGTCTATCTATCTATCTATCTATCTATCCATCTTTGTTTCTCTAACTTTCTCTGCCTATCTATCGATGCATCTATCTGCCCATCTATCTACATATCTATCTATCTATGTATCTATCTATCTATCTATCTATCTATCTACCTACCTACCTATCTATCTATCTATCTATCTATTTGCCTCTCCCTCGATCTATCTATCTTTCTATCTATCTACGTCTCTGTCTATCTTTCTATGTATTGATCTGTCTTTATATATATATATATGTGTGTCTGCCTATCTCTCTCTATCTGTGCCTCACCTTGCGAAAGTACTGTGCCTGCCAGAAAATCTGCACTTGCGCCTGCCACGGAATCTGTACTTATCCTTGCGAAAGTATTGCGCCTGCCACGGAATCTATACTTGACCTTGCGAAAGTGTTGCGCCTGCCACGGAATCTGTACTTGACCTTGCGAAAGCGCTACGCCTGCCACGAAATGAAATCTGCGTGCGACCTTGCGAAAGTGCTGAGCCTGCCACGAAATGAAATCTACGCGTGACCTTGCGAAAGTACTGCGCCTGCCAGAAAGTCTGTACTTGACCTTGCGAAAGTGCTGCGACTGCCACGAAATGAAATCTGCGCGCGACCTTGCGAAAGTGCTGCGCCTGCCACGAAATCTGTACTTGGCCATGCGAAAGTGTTGCGCCGGCCACGCAGGTCACACCTGGCAAAACCTCTGCGTTGCCGTGCCGTTGGGCCCGGCATCGAATGTGGCTCCGACCAGACGTTGCAAACAGGCTAGCTTTCAAATCTCTGGAGACGCCAATTCACGCAGGGCCGCGCATTTTTTTGTCGCGGGCTGACTCCTTCTCTTGTCATCTGTCTCAGAGAGCTAGGTTTCAGTCAGTTGCCGCAATACGGAAGTTCCTTCAAAACTTTCTTTGACCGAATATGTTGCAAACTGGATAATCCACGTGCCTGTTTCTTTGGTTATTTGACCAGTGGTTTGCGCACGTCCGGTGTGGCACAGAGACTTTCCATTGGGTTACCGGAACATCCCCAGGTTGAACGCTTCTTCAGGTCTGCTCCAACAGATTCCTTCAACAATTCCCCCCAGCCTGGTTTGAGGAGAAACCTCAAAAGCTGTCGAAGGGGGAACCCCGAAGCAATCGAGGCCTCATCACTCTTCGCTTTGTTTGGTCTCGGAACCCAACATGTTGGACCATCAGGGGCGAAGACAACAGCCCGCATGTTTTTGTTTTTTTTTTTTATTATTATTATTTCAAAAGGAATGGGTGTTCTCTTCAAAGGAGTCCCATTCTGGGCAAGTTGAAGCGAGCCTACCGGTGTGTGACCACCCTGACGAAGGATCTTTTCACAGGGGTCCCTTAGTTCGATTGAAGCCATTTCAGAACTCCACACTTTTCCAGGGGACTCAAGATGGATGGGTTTCCCAAGAGGTAGGGCACACCGATCCGATCGAGCGCCAGGCACGCAAGGAGGCGGAGAAGAAGAGGAAGGAGGCGATCAAGGCCGCCAAGCGCCTCGGCCCTTGGAGTTCCGAGCTCCGAGGCTCCGAGGCTCCGAGTCACGCGCGTTGATCCGTATGAGCCACGTGCTCAAAACCGATTTGGGTAGAGGAAGGTTAGTAAGGGACAATCCCAACCATGGGCGCGGATGGCCGCCTTCTTAGTTCTTGAAACATTGTTCTGGGATTACGACCATTTTAATACCAAGTTTTGATTGCGAGTGACTCATATTCCTTGTTAGGGACCCCAGGTTTGACCATGAGTCACTTTTCCCAGGTTGAAATCTCAAATCTGTTGGGTGGCCATGGAAAGGACCTTTTGATCAACCGGTGTTTTGTAAAAGGGCGCCCACTTTTCATGGTCGCAATATATTTGTGTTTGTAGGATCCTGTTCTTGGAGGTTGGAAACAGAGACCAAAAAGGACAGCCAGTGTTTTTTTCAAATGACATGGCCACAATTTAGCCTAACCTGTCGGCCTCAGGCTATTTGGGTTTTCCAGATGTTCCGAGCCATCCCGTTGAACTGAGAAATGACGCCGCACTTGTCCCAGCCTTCAGGTTGCTTCAAGTACGTATCCCAGCCCAGTGGTGCCCTTCTGTCCCCATTTTGTTGGGAAGGGGTCCCCTTTAAAGTCAAGCAACCAAAAAAGGATGCTCCCTTTTTTTCCCATGGAAATCCACTGGGCATCTGAGGTATACTGTGTATGTGTATATATATATATGTATGTATGCCCATATATATAATCAAGAGACGATTGACAATGCATTTGCTGATATATCAGGTTCAATTAAATGTTGCTGTAGTCGATGGTTAATTTGGACGGAAATTTGGGTATTCACTAGGGGTTCTAAAGTTCCCACACACAAAAAATAGAGGATAGATTCTCGGAAGGATCCCTAGTTTTCCCATGGGTATGAGGACCTGCGTTGACCATGCCTATATGGATTCTCAAAGTTGGATATGGGACTCCAGAAGTTAGTTCAAGGTTTCCCATTTCAACCCCAGAGTTTCCCAACTAAAGCAACAGACTCCCACCGGGGTCCGCACATAAACGCATTGCCGTTTCTTTCCAGCCCGTGAGGGCTGGTTTCCTGCTACACGCCATAGCAAGCCTTCTTCTTTTTCTGTTCTTCTTTGTTTTGTTTTTTTTCGGAGTTGGTCCCCGTGTTCAATATTTTTAACCGATGCCCATGGGGTCCTGACATCCATGACAACCCCGAATGTCGCGGATGCTCTGCTTAAGGAAGGCAAAGCCTAAGAAGGCTGAAGCTGAGAAGGCCGATGGAAAGACCGACGCTTGCCTGATCGTCCACTTGCAACGGGTTTTTCTCCTTTGGTCTACAAAGCCCCGGAGTGCAACTTGACGGGCATCAACTGCATCCAAACATATCCAAACCAAAAAGCGATTTCTGTTTGATCTTTATCAGGGCAGCGAAAGAAAGGCAGCCCATAGGCTCACTTTTCCCACATTTTGGTGTCGGACCCGTCTTGGAAGGGACGTCTAGGATGAGCTCATGAGGATGAATCAAGCAAGAGCACCACACCCAAGGAATCCACCTGAAATGAATTAATTTCCCTGGTTAGAAGGGAACCACCCCTGATTTCTGCAGTCCTAACCAATCCAAAGTTGACATTGAAGGAAAAATATTAAAGGCTATCGGCTGTTTCATACAAGAAGTACCTCCCCTGTTCCCCAAATCTGGTCTTAAGGACGGGGGGGATTCCAGAAGGGGTGATGCGTCCTGTGACCAATGCTCAATAGCCCTTTGCACAGAACAGAAAAGCGGATTCCTTTCATTCACATGACTGGGCAAGTAAGGACGATGACAAGAATGCCAAGACTGAAGATGCCAAGACCGAAGATGCCAAGACCGAAGATGCCAAGACCGAAGACGGCGACAAGGCGTTTGAAGCAGCTCAAAGCCCATGGTTTGCTCTCGAATATGAGACGGTATCATCGGTTTGTGTTGGGAGAATGCTGGGCGCTTTTCCCACCATCAACGTGAACAGAGAGCGGGTTAGTGCGCATGGCGAGATGCAGTGGTCATTGCAGGAGAAGAAGGCCGAAGACAAGAAAGATGACGGCGACTTCCGCCTACTCCCTTCGGTTGGAACTTGGTACACAGGCCAGTTGTCCAGGAGTTAGTGTGTATGTGTGTGCTGGTGCAGGCCGCTTGTGTTGCTTTGCTCAGGTTGGGTAAGGAGCTCTTGTAAACCTTGAGGCTTCGTTGCGAAGTGTTCATCTGCAGGTTCAGGGACCCTCAACTCGTTGAGCAAAAAACAAGCTGCTTGTTTTGTTTCCACCTTGTTTTTTCAGTCGTCTAGAAGGCAAAAAGACTTGGCGCCAAGCAAGGCCACGCCTATCACTACGGGTAACCACTCCTTCGCTTCGCTTCGCACGATGCCGACGATCAGGCGTTGAAAGCGAGGAGAAGGGCCCAGGGCCCAGTGCACTAAGAAGAGATCCTTCATTTTCGGAGGCAAGGCTCTTCATTTCACCTTGCCGCTAATTGGCGCTTTGGATTGATGGTGTTCGCCCATACCTCCAAAAACCAGAATAGCAAATCACAAATCCAAGCCACCAAAAAAGTGTAACCTAATCATTGTGGTCAAGGGCCCAGAAGAAAGCAAAACACACAACAGTCAACTCAGGGCAGGTGTCTCCGCAGGTCGAGCGCGTCGAATCAACCCGAGACCACGGAAGAAGCAGTTCGTCGACTTCAGCATTTTCCTTCTTGTTTTTTGTGTTTTCCGCGAAGAGGGGTAACAAACGAGCTGGGGTGCTTTACTCAAGGTCCTGTACCAGGGTATTCCTTATGCCCAGTTATGCAAATGGCGACAAGTTTATGTCCCAAAGTAAAAGTGGTGAGGTTGTTGTACAACCCCAAGTGAATATTTCATCTATTTTCACCTACCAAGCAACGGAGTACCATACTTTGTTTGTGGGTAAAGGAAATCTGCAACAAATTGCGTGTGGGAGCGGGCGTCTTAAAATGAATGTGTTATTAGCTTCTGTCCTTGGTGGTTGTTATTTTTATTGAGACACTATGTTGAATTGACCAATAAACTAAGGCTTCAGCAGTGCACATCATGTGTCATAGTCACATCCTTGGGGTACCAGGGAAGGTCAACCCTGTTGAATTGAAGTAACTGTTTCAAGGTGTCCAAATCATCGAAGCATGACCCACAACTTCGGAGCTTTGACCATGGCCCACGGCTCAATGGGTTCATGCATTCAATAGTCAACCTTTGAATTTGGCACAAGTCCTTGGAAATTTCAGCATTGGAACAGGGCACCCTCACTAGGCAAAGGTAGGTGCAGCTACTGAATGCATGAGCAGTATCGATGTTTAGATATGGGCGTGTCTTGAAGTTGGGGCACGCCCCAAAATGTGTGGTTTCCTCTTGGTTTTCCCTTCAAAACTATCAAAACAGTACCCTCAAAAAAAAGACAAACCAATATTCAACTTGCAACGTGGGCCCTTTGTTCGGACCTTGGTGTCATGATGTTCCGCTTGACACCATAAGTCTTCACTGGGCGGGCTTCAACATCACCCCGCCAGAATCTCCCCCCCCCCCCCCAAAAAAAAAAAAAAAAAAAAAAAAAAAAAACAACAAACAACACACGTTCTTACTTGGCCCTGCTAACGTTGGAGGTTGTCTTGGTGGGACGCTTATAGTGCCCTTGACTCAAAGAATCGTCAGTTGACTGCCAACACGCCAAAACGGGGTCCAAGTTGCTCGGAGAAGTTCGGATCTCTGGGCTCGCGGCTCCAGATCAAGTCGACAAATCCCCAACTGGACTTCGGCAAGGTGGCGCTGGGACTGGCTCAAAAGGGGAGGTCAGAGGCCACGTCTTCTCATTGCCAAGCTTGACTTGCCTGTTTCTCTTTTTTTTGTGTTGGGGAACTTCCTGCATGTTCCCTTTCACGTGGCAAGGAGTTAGCGGTTTACAGGAGTCGGATTTGTTTGGCCAAGTTCTGAGGTGAGAAGAAGGAAGAGGAGAAGAAAGAGGAGAAGAAGGAGGAGAAGAAGGAGGACCATGGGCTACAGTTGATTCACAAATTGAAAATAGATGGCTGTGGGCCAAAACCAATGGTACCATTGTGGGGCAGGTGCACCCCCATCTTAGTCTATTTTAGTGGTGATTGGGATAATCACTGGTCACTGGGGGTACGGGCTATTGACTCATGGCCAGAGAACCCCAGGTTGATTCATAGAGGCTGCCCATGTTAGGTCAATCCGTCGCTTGTGGCGACGCATTGTGAAACAAGTGGTTGGATTTCTGGCAGCATTTCAGGAATCCGCCGCATCTTCGACGATATGTTTAAAGAATTGTGACACAAGAACGTGCCCATCACAATCTGCATTTCTTACTCTTTGGGTGGATCCTGCTTGAAATTAATGGGTCAGGATTGCTGAACCCCTGGTTGATTGACGGGGTTGGCTCATTGAAGAGAGGGTCATTCACTCTTTAAGGAAAAATACAGGTTCAATCCTCATCCATGGCCAGCTTTGGGTGGACTCCTGCTGTTCCCCTCCAGTTTAGGTTGCGTCTCCTGTGTCAGTGACCTTACCAAGCCCTCACCGAGCCCATGTGTTCAGGAAGTATTGCATATTTGGCATTAGTCACCAGTTTAGTCAGCCCCACTGTTTGAAGGGAGTCTAGAGGGTTCAGTGAATACGTGCATCTGCTTCAATCTGAGACGGCCCAAGAATGGCTTTGGCCGCTTTCAAGAAACGATCGAAGGGCAACAGTATCCACAGGGGTCCCCCAAGCATGGGGTTGCTCGGGAGGTGTTGGGAAAGTCTGGCGTCCATAACCCTTTCATCCCCACAAACAATCAGAAAATATGCGCTCAATCCGTTGAATACAAAGATTTGTTTGTTGTGAACACACTCCACAACAACGTATACAATATGTACATAATATGCATACATACATACATACATACATACATACATAAATACATACATACATGTGTGCATACATACATATGTACATACAACATACATGCAATGCATGCATGCATGCATGCATGCATGCATGCATGCATGCATACATACATACATACATACACACATACACACATACATACATACATACATACATACATGCATACATACATACATGCATACATACATACATACACATACATACATATACATACACGCATACATACACACATACATACATACGTATACATATACATATGCATATGCATATACATATACAGATACATACAGATACATATACATATACATACGCATATACATATGCATATACACATACATACATACATACATATACACATACATACATACATACATACATACATACATACATACATACATACATACATACATACATACATACATACATACATACAGATACATACAGATACATACATACATACATACAGATACATACAGATACATACATACATACATACATACATACATACATACGTACATACATACATACATATACATACAGATACATACAGATACATACAGATACATACATACAGATACATACAGATACATACATACATACATACAGATACATACAGATACATACAGATACATACAGATACATACAGATACATACAGATACATACAGATACATACAGATACATACAGATACATACAGATACATAAAGATACATACAGATACATACAGATACATGCAGATACATACAAATACATACAGATACATACAGATACATACAGATACATACAGATACATGCAGATACATACAGATACATACAGATGCATACAGATGCAAACAGATGCATACAGATACATACAGATCCATACAGATGCATACAGATGCATACAGATGCATACAGGTGCAAACAGATACATACAGATACATACAGATATATACACACATACATGCATGCATACCTACCTACCTACCTACCTACGTACCTACATCCATGCATACATGCATAGATGCATACATACATGCGTACTTACGTACATGCATACATACACGTGTTGTTGATACAGTTTCTTGCCACCCCCAAGGATTCATTGCTGCAAGATGTTGCCTTCTCCCATACCTCGGATGATGGTCATTTGGTCCACGTTTCTTTGAGGGGGCTTCCTTTGACATCAGCCAGCTGAGGTCTGGGTTATTCAGGCCAACCACCGCTTTTGGTCGTCAAGTTTGGCATGCCAATGGGAAACCATTGCCACGGTTCAGGGGAAGACCCTACATGTTGGTCCAAAACAATGTTCTTAGAGTTCTGTTGAGAAGCACCTCGCCAATGAGCCAAGGTTCACAAACCTTCCGACAAAACAAATTGCCCAAGCAGCTGAAGACGATTTGCAATTCGAAAGACGATTTGCCTTGGGGATAAAAGCTTCCCATGGCTTACAGCTGGACCTCTTGAAGATGTTCCTGAAACAAAGCCGATCTGGGGCATAAGACAGAAAAAGGGGTCTGATTCAGACCCAGGCAACACCCAGTTCAGTGGCACCCTTTAGTCTTTGTCCCTTTTTTTGGTGCCCCACTACAAATGGTCCAAGCCCCAAAAAGGGTTCCCTTTTTGTTCCAGGGTCACTGAAGAACTGAGAACCCCAACCCGCAACCCGTCGCACCAGGAGGACCTACCCTCCGCATACGAAGCTTGGTGGCCCCCGCACGGCTGCGAGAATAAGAAGGAGGCGGAGCCGCGGAACCTTGTAAAACAGGGCTCCTTAAAAGAAAATTCATTTTGCAACCAGTTGAAACATGGCGCTTTTTCAACAATTTGAAACATGGCGCCTTTTGTTTTCAACACCAAAATACAGTTGGAAACCGCCATTTTTGTAAGTTGCAATGCTCAGGTGGATCCATTGTAAGGATCCCTGTTGGATCCCTGTATTAGAGCCACCGGTATTTGGCAACCCCCCCCCCAATGTCGGCGTTCCCTTTGGCTTTGTTGAGAAAGCCGATCCACTGGGGTTGCCTGGAAAAATATCATACATATGTATGTATTATATATACGTGTATATATATATATATACATATGTATATATACATATATGTATATATATATATATATATGAATATATATATATATATGTATGTATTCCACGGGTCCAAGTTGGTAGTTGGGATTCCGTACACCTCCCAGGCGAAGCAGTGGTTCGGA